AACATATGCTGCTTAGGAACATCTTAGGCTTATTCCAAATCAAGACAGCCACTTAGGATGACGCCGCTTAATTTGATGATATGTAACTCAACTCTTACAAATATGAATGATGTCAAAATGTTAAACATGAAAATATCCAAAACCCTATTTTCCGAGGTCTATAGAGTTGTGAGGAACGAGAGGAGAGGCATACACTGGCTGAACCGATGAAAAGACCCTACAACATTTCGATTTAGCCAAAAATGATGATTTATATCTAATGCCTTGTCACACAAACTCAAAGATCTACAGGCAAAAACTAACAAGTTGAAAGAACAAGCAGGGCAGCGAAGGAAGACAGGACTTCAAGTAAATGTAGAGAAGACAGAGGTGATGAAGATACTCAACCAACAAGAACAAAAACAACAACAGGCACCGTCAACAGAAAAATCTAAACGAAGTTGTCTCTTTCATCTACCCACCTACCCACCTAGGCAGCATCGTTTCAACCACAAGCAGCAGTGGCGGTGGCACACATGAGAACGTCAAGGCAACCAGACTCGGAAAGACAACAAGACATGTCTTCCTTCAATAATCTGAAATCAGTGTGCAGATCTACTGCACTCCACTCCACTGTATTGTACTGTAATGCACTGCACTGTACTGCACTACACTCAGCATAAAGTGTGGACAGGACACCGATTTTCAACACTAATGTCAGTCAAGTGAGTCAGTGCTTCTATGTGATGGTCGAGAGACTTGCCACGTCACGAAAAGCATTTCCAACAAACTACACACATACATCATGAACAGCTGCCACCCACACTCACTCGATACTGAACATCGATCAGACGAGATGGCCAGAATAATAGGGGTAAGCAACAGGGAACTCACTGTGTCTGGCAACGAATCAACCAACCAAGAATCTATCACCCAACAAATATGCAGGGGAAAGTGGAGATGGATTGGATTAGATTGGATTGTACATTGAGTGAGAACGAAGACGGTTTGGGATATCATGCACCAGACAAGGGCAGTCCCTCGAATAGAACTGGCATGGGAAACAACGAATCATGCATCCGAGGTGAGGTTGACATGGAGGAGATGGTGTGAAGAAGAAGAAATGAAAGGTTGTGGGTAGTTGTGTAGCCAGGTTGTAAAGATTGCAGAGAAGTGAGTGAAGTGGTGACGTCCTACTGAATCCTTATGTCCCATTAGGAACCCAAAGGAGAAATAATAATCAGTAAAATTGTCAACATTGTATAAATCATATGGGAACAGTAGCCCAGAATGCGCTTTTTGATTTTTAGTGTCCGGATGGATAGGTAAAACACTACTGCGTAGTCATTTGCTACGTATTCACAATTCAGCCTGACCATTATCTGAACAAAGTAATGAGAAGACGAATATTATTTAAAACACATGGCGCATCAGCGCTATCATCATCATGCACTGTTGTCATGTTTTAGTCTGGCCACTCCTAGCCTTTTCCCTGCCGCAACCTACTTCAACCAATATTGCGCTACGAGGAAGATGGTGTCTCGGCATATGTAACGAATGTCCCAGCCATCTCGGTCGATGAAGGTTCATACACGTATCAACTGACTTACCCATCTTCCCTAAAACTCTACATCCGACGTCTGTGCTGCTCACTTGGAGGCATCACGAAACACGGCCTATTCTATGAAGGCAACAGTGGCCAAACGCTTGAAGCCTTCTCATGTCTTCTACCTTTAAAGTCCATGTTTCACAGCCATACAGTAGAACAGAGTGGACTGCAGCACTCGCGTATAATTGACAATCTAATATCTTGTCAGCCCCACAGGTGATGTTATTTGGTGAGAACCAATCTAGCCTTTTGCATTCGTGTAGCGATTTCTTCGGCCACTGAGCCACTTGGGCTGATCCAACTTCCCAGGTGAGCAAAGTATTCAACGCAATCAACCGTTTCATTCTCTATTGTTAGTCAAGCTACTGTTGAAGACCAGTCGTGGGGCAACGATTCGCATTTGGGTGGTAAGAAACGCATCCTAAACATTCTCAAATTGGCACTCAAAGTGTCCAGAAGACTCTGTACCTTGTCAGCGTCTTCACCTAAAAGAACTATGTCATCTGTGTATTTCAGGTCCACCAACAATTCACCTATGATGAGGTCGATAATGAAAGGGAGACATCTATTAGCGTTATACATTTCAAACGGTCTAATCACACATGGACTTGTAGAATAATTTATATGAAACTGAGAAATGTTAATGAAGCCAAGTGAACTATATTTAAGAAAGATGACAAGGGCAGAACGAAAAAGGAGAGGAAAAATAAAAAGGTTCATCTCAATACTACCAGGGCAGGTTTACCATAAGTACAAACTATTTTTGAATACATAAAGTGGGTTTGGATTTATGGATAGCAGTTGCTTCGATAAATCTAAGTATTCTTCCTTGACCATATCTATACAATACAGTAAAGACTATCTTTATATAAACCTTATGATCAGTTTCTAATGTGTTTCGCGATCGATGAGGAAGGACATTCGTCATTCATTTCTGTTCAACACATCGGACAATTTTATGTATAATCAGACTATTAGAAGTATGTAGTGCTAATGCTTTACATTTTTCCGATAATCTTCGTCTTCTCATTACGTTGTTTAAATTTATTAAGGGGACTAATTTTTTCAAGTTTCTGAAATTATTCCCCATTCTTACTTGAAAGACAGTACACTTCCTTTACAAAGACCTAGTTTCAACCAAGCAAAATACTCTCCAGAAAACGTGATATGACATGATTATAAGCAGTAATAACTTATGCTCGAAACATCATCAAGTAAATAATAGCGTATCACTTTGTTATATATTATACATACATTTTAATATGGAATTAGTTTAGGTATAGTGAAACTAATTCTAGAGAGTCAGAGAATTATGATTTCCGGTAAAGTTTTTGCTACGCAACTTTTCTATTTACTAGTCGGTGAATGTTAGGCACTTTCTTTAACTTGTTCAAATATCAGGATTTGTCTAATTTTTCCTTTTAAAAGTGAACTTGATCTTTCGAAAGGTGGTGAAAAAGAAAAATAGGTTTCGAACTCAAAAAATCATTTGTAGAAATGTAGTGACTTTCTTAATGAGTCTTGACTCATTTAATATCAGTAAATTCCTGAATATGTTTTGACTCCTCAAACTGACTATACAGAAAGTCGAAATACAGTACTCGAAATATTTGTTATTGGTGTCACCGAAGCGCCAGATATCTTCATTATTACAGGACACCGTAGAATGTATTAGACGTGTAGGGACCAAACCAAACTGGAAAAGAATATATATTTGTTTTTATAGCTACACCAGGTTTGCTAAATGCAGAAGACTTAGTAAAACCTTCGATGCATTACCTACAGTCAAATAGCTAGGCTTAAAACTCAATCATCAATATTTATAAAAGCAAAAAATTTATCCTACATATGACACAGTATCTAATAAATAATGAAGTCCCTTGAAGGTAATCAGAAATAAAATAACGGTGCAAGTCAAAAACATAAATTCTATCCTTCAGTTAAAATGTCAAAAGACATAGCAGCAAGAAATTACAAGTGTCAGTGAATAACAATTGATACTTGTTTCACAAGAGGTGCCCATTGCACCCCAGCCACCTAGTAGATAACGTTTTAGCGTTTGGAGTGATTAATTCGAGTCACAGTGGAAACACTGTTACTCACTGGGGTGGAGGTGTACTCAGCTGACAAGTCCCGAATGGGACATAGTGCCCGTCCTGGATTCCTCTACAATACATCATCAAGTAAACTGCAACGTAAGTAATATTCAGACAGTATCCAGACATCTGTATAGGAGCCCAATTGTCAACAGAGGTTGAGCAATTCCATCCAGTATAGTAACGGGAAATTGCAAGTATCAATTAGCTGTTGAATAACAATATATGAGAACAAATAGCAAATAAATGACAATAATTTCACCACCAAATCAACTTTTGTCAAAGGTATACTTTGTGTAACATAACTTTCTAGTTTCAAGTAAGCATACTGCAGAATTCAATGATACTTCTGACCTAACGGTTTATCTTTGAAAAGTGATTGCAATAAGTTAACCCTGCCTATCATGTTTGTAAATAATGATCATATAAACTGCAGATCTTAATAAAGTGATCTCAAATAGGTCTCAGGAAAGACTCTGAAGAAGGTAAAGATACCCGGAACAATGATTCTGAGAGAGAAATAATCCCAAAGAAATTAAATTTCCCTCCTTTTCGTATGGTTTCAAACAGACTGCGTAGGAAGCACAATTAGTTACTGAATACAAGATTGGTAAACTCATGATTTCATCTATCTCTTTCAAAAATTTACAACCAAATCACACTTGACGCTAAAGTTACATCATCTTTGGTGGATATTTGAGACTGATTAGTTTTTTTGCTGTAAACATTTGCATAAAATACGTGTCATAATTTTGTCTCCTTATCCTTCTGCTGTTGATTGTAGTTAATCAGATTTATTTCAGTTTGGTAATTTATTTATAAGTCTTTTTTTCAAGTGTAAAAATTTACCAACAAGGTGAACCAGTTGTCTATTCTTTATTCTGTTATTTCAAAAAGAAAAAAAGGTATTGAATATTCTTCGGGGGTGAAGAACACCTTAAAAGACAAGATAATAAATGTTCCCTTGTGTTAGATTGAACAGTTGATATTTAGTTGACAGTCATGATTTACATCCTTCTTTTAAGTGTATCAATAGATATGTGAATGAATACAGACAAATTCAGGTAATGCCTGTTGGGTGTATAAAACTTAAATCTTCAATCTAACTAATGCCTACAAAGTTTATGTGCAGAGATTCTATGTGTGATGGTAATTCAGTGATCCATTTAACTGAAACGTTATCATACACATGAGTAGGTCATCAGAGTAATGGATTAAGCAAAACGTTATCTATGCATATATATATATATATATATATATATATATATATATATTTCAAGCAGATAAGGAATCCACATTCAAAAAAGACAACTTACTTGATTCCCTTCTACAGGTTCAATTTCTAATGTATTCAAACTGTTTATTCTATCAGAAGTGTTCAATGTTGAAGATAATGTTGATGATGGTGATGATAATAATCCATTAGGAGAGTTTATACTACCGTTAGAAGCCATAAAATTTGCCATCCATTGATTCCACATGAATTGTCGATTAGAATTAGGGAGTGATGATAAGAGTGTAGGATCTAGATTACATGTAGAATTGTGTATTTGATTGATTACAGATTCATGTGATATAGGTGACTGAAAATTTGTCTGATCGTTTGTTGATGAATGGGTATTGGTTGAGTTAGACAGGTGATTAACAGCATATTCTAGATTTTCTTTTGTCTTACTTGATGATAATGAAGTCATCGTATGTTGTTGTGTTTGTGAATGTTGTTCATCTGTTAACATTGTAGACATTGATGTCAATAAACTACCTGGTGAAATATTTCCATGTGCAGAGTGAGTGAATATTTCATGATCCTTCCAATTACATAACCATGCAGATTCAATGTTTTTCAGTGAATTTAACAAATTAGTATCATTTGTATTATTCTGTTGTGACTGATCCTGTTGCCTCTGATGATGCTGAGACTTTGATGAAGGATAAAAGTAAGCCGGAAAGGATAGATTATTCATTGAATTGAATTTTTCTTCAAATAATTGTATAAAATTTTCAAGTTTATTCAGACGAAACCTTGTTTCAGTGCATTCACGTAATAGTACTTCATATTTCTGGTTAAACTGTTTCAATTCTTCATTTAAGCGTTTTTCAAACATATTTAAACATGTATGATAAATTAAACTGAAGGATTCTTGTAATAGAAAGTTTGGTGGAAATGGAAAAAATAACGAATTCGATAGATGATTCATTGGTATCACTCCAGCTGACATTGCAGATGATGATGATGATGAAGATGCTGGTTGTATATCATGATTTTGACTAGTATGATGATTATGATGACTAAAGTAATTAGGAGATAACTTCATTGCATCTCCATTCATTGTCGAGCTTACATTTGAAGTAGTAGGGGAATTTAAAGTAGTACTGTTACATGTAATTGTTGTTCCGTTATTTAACAAGTCTGGGGAACTTGATGGAGACGATGACTCAAAGGAGTTGGTCAAATTTATAGCTGATAAGTTCATGACGTTGTATTGTATTATTATAATTATGTGATTAAAAAGTATTACACTAGTAATGTATTTCGTAAATTTTGTACGAATTGGTTTTAATCATTCATTTAGGTTTCTTTTTTTTTTACTCAAAGTGTATGCTGATTAATAATTTGTAAATGTGTAAAAGCGAATTGTAAATTTTCGCTGAAAGTTGTTTACAATAGTTTCCAGGTTATTGTGTGTTTTAAAAATGTTCATTTAACGTAGGGGTAATTTTGTTAAATATTATACACATATCCGTTTTTACATCCACTTATTTATATACACATATGGTGTTCTACTGATCGGATATCTGCTTTACCAATCAGAGGATCTAGTTACTACGTTTCTTTAGAATGGTAACATGTGGATTTTAATTTGATCCATCTTCTATGGGTCTTCTTGTGTGTATATATAAGCATATATGTGTACTAGTATGCAAGCACGCATGCCTACGCATCGATACAAATTAACGCATAACAGAACGTAGCACAGTACATATATACAGTTGTAGTGGTAGTAGTAATAGCACACATTACTTAGTTTTGATGGGATTTCATATTTCTATCAAAATCAAACCAATCGTATAATGTCCGATTACTTACTCCCTTTCATCAATACATGTATCTATATGTTGCCGTGTACCTGCATATAGAATACACCTATTTTCATTTTCATACTAAGCACACATTATCTAAACATTAGAATTGTTTGTTTGTGTCACTTACTAGCTTATTTTTAGTAAAAATGCATAACAACTATCACAGTTTAATAGTTATCATGATGTTTGCGTGTATTGTTCATAAATATACTTTTTTGTGTAACAGGTAAGCGATGCAACCCTGAAAATGTATTACACATTCACCATACACCTGTCAGGCAAAACGATTTAATAGTAGTAATGTGAAAAAGAAATCAAGATTTAAAAAGACAGAGTATCTGGTTTACTAGTTTTACACGCTACTCTGGTACCATAATTCTCTGAAATTCTTCCCCTTTTTACGTGTGTGGTCTTCAAATGGTTAGTTAGTTAGTTAGTTGGTTAGTTAACTGGATATAAATCTAGTTATGCATAAAAAGTTCTCCTTTTCTGAACACTGAATAAAAGATATCATAAATGAAAAATGAAGCACAAATAAAGCTACATTTTAATTTTGTTGTTTAAGTCACCAAAACATTTTACGAATAAATAAATTTCTCCAATCAATTTTAAAACGCATAAATGCTTTTACATTTATACATCATTTATACTTATATAAGTAACGTTTTTTTTGAAAAAAATTTGGCTCCAGTATTTTGTTAAAGTATTCAATGTTGTCGTTTTTCGGTAAAATCTAAACCTATTTACCAAGTTATCAAGTTCTAAGCATTAAATTTCTGGTGAAAATCTATGCTCTTTTTAATATTATTCAAAGAAGATTATAACCAAGCATTATTTTCTCTCAGCGGTGTCAAACTAGTAGAATAGAATATGAACAGAACATTAGAATAATAACCTTTTAAAGAAATGTCATTTACAGCACACTAAATTACACTAGATCTACTACGTATACAAATATAAAATCAATGAATAAATAGTCCAATATCATTGAATGAAACTGTCCAGAAAAAGATTATCATCTTTCGATTAAAGAAATAGACAACCAGATTTGTAAACATATGTTTTGAATGAATAAATGTAGCATACAGATGACAATATGTTTATGTTTACTGACGTACTAATGGTAGCAAATAATAATCAAGTCCAGATGAATTCTTGGTTAATCTAATTATTTTTATAAAAGTTAATAATCTAATCAACCCATTCTACCTTTACTTTGAAGAATGTTTCATTTGTAGTCAGTGTTTCAGTAACTGTACAATTTGATAAGTTCCTTTACGTAAGTATGCATGGTAATCATAACTTCATTAATCTAGAAGTTAAGGATTTCCATCTATTAGTGACGAAGGTTTTTAGTCAATATTAGTCGCCTTCCTGGTATATTTTAGTTTTTAAGATATAGTTCAAATAACAAAGATGATTTGATTTGGAAACTTAATTCTGCTTATTGTAAAGTTATCAGGATGCTCATGTTTCTGTCTTACAACAGATGGGTTGCTGATTAAAACTTTGTGGTCTAGGTCATTCAGCCACCATACCATGTGCTAGTAAAAAGTGTAACAAAACTGCTATATTATTGCAGATGACCAACAACATGCTTATAACTAATGAGGCTTTTATACAACACTTAAAGGGATGCCTTAGTATCCATCCTCTGACTAGTTTTTAAGATATGTTTGGACGTTTGTCGTCTACACTTATCCCAGCATTTGAGATCATTTCATTTTGAAGCTGTTTACGTGCATGTTCAACCACCCTCAAGCTCTTCCTCCCAATATTCCTTTTTCTGAGCTTTCAGTCAGATGAAGAAATTTTCTTTGGATCCGTTTATATAATGGGATGTATTAGGTCTGGAATCATTACATTTGTCTAAGGAGCCATAGGTGATTTCATGAGCCATTTGCGGTTTCATCCTATTAAGGTATGTACTCAGACATGCATGGCTTAGTCTCTGAGACAAGCATATGACTACTGGCAGGATCAACCAGTTTATTCACAGTAAGATACATACCCATCATTTTAAAGGATAAGTATGCACTTGCTTTTGTAGGAGAGAAGGGAAAAAACCATCTAAACTTTACAAAACCAGGAAGGTTATATAGTCTCATCCTGTGGAGCAACCATATGGGTGCCTTTATCCTGGTTGACCATTCACAGCATTTGTTTAGACAAGCAAGCACGATTATTATTATTCCGATCAATAATCGCTTTAGTCAATTATCCACAACATGGACAAGCCAGTTCTGACCTATTCCGTTTACATGACCCATCAAACACAGTATTAGAGGCAAGGGTAGCTTGGATTGCAATGCTCCAATGACACTTAAGGCCCTTCAGAGAAATGCTAGCAACCACCAAATTTAAGGAAATTGTTCACCCGGCGAACCAGTTTCATAAGCTATGCGCTTTCAATAGACCACCAAGGTCATTACGAACCGTATACAGTTGCATTACTGAACCTCTGAGAGCATATAACTTCCAGCTATGGATATTAATACAGCTTAGGCTATTTAAAGAGTAGGCCCTGAAGGCAGTAAGTAAGGTAGTCTAGCATCAAACTGCTGGACCTAAACAAGCTTGAAACCCATAGTTGCAAGCCGAAACATCATGAACCTACATCCACAATGCTTTTTATAACATTTGCAGCATTTTCATATTTTCGACTTCTTGCACCTGAGTTAGGGGTAGTATCCCCTGCTGATGAATTTCAAAGGATGTGTATTCTGTGTCACTGTTACTGTCCACACGTTGTTCTTACTTTCCTTCGCACCATCTCTGCAGATGTGCTTCAGATCATTAAATAAACGTTTGATTAAATCACGTTAGTAGTTATCAGACTAATATACCGCCCAATTCATATGGGCCAGAGGAACAGATGACTTTTCGTTGTTTCTTCTCACTTAAGGTTTTTGTCACTTTCACCAGTTTTCGTCCTCTTCATTTGGTGCATCGCATCATCTGTCCTGGTATGTGTACTAACAACTTCATCAAAAGATATCTTATAAAGCTTTTGCAACAAGATTGCTGACAAGATCTTCAAGATATGGCATGTACACATCGATTACGAAGTGCCCCTAGAGAATATCTCTTGGAACACCATCAGTTTATCGAATGTATTCACTATCGAAGGTTAACTGACCTTCGTTAGAAAAGTAAAAGGGATTGAGAATAAAAGATTATGTGCAGAAATTTGTCGAAAAAAACACCAACTGCCTCTTTCATTGGTAAATTCGTAAAAGTGGAAAAACTGAAGGAAAAAGGTACGTAGGTTACCAAAAATATGTAAAATTTGTAACCGAAAAGCAAAACTGTCGACCTATCTGAAATTTATCCCTTTCAGTTTCCACTTACTATTATGATTTTGTGAATATATCCAAAATATAAATGTTTAAACTCTTAATAGTAAATTGACCAATTTTTTGGTATACTTGTGGTTCTCTATTGCTTTTATTGGATAGAATTGTTCGACCTCTATTGGCATATAGGATGCTATACAGATGACTCGATATTGCCTGAGTTTTATCTATGGTAATTTGCTTGGTTGCGGCTAGTAGAAGAATCCAGAACGCTATCGTGCCTCCGTGGTATAGTGACATTTGAAGCAATAGGTACGAGGTTTGAGTTTCAGTGGAAACAACATCACTCACTGAGGTGCAGGTACATCCAGCTGACGAATCCTAAATAGCAGTAAGTTGACCTGTTGAACAATTCATCTTCATGAGTAAACCATTTTCAGACCTTTGTCTACAGTAGGTTATTAATTACACCTACGAAGGTGCAGGATATACTCAAAACTTTCATTCAGAACATATATATATGGAAGATGTGTTTGATACTAAGTGATGAAACTGTTGATTGTGAACAAGTTGAGTAGCGTTTTGAGTATTTTTACTCCTCTGTATCGAAAGCGACATAACGCCACTACACATGGTCACTGATTTGCACACTTTGAAAAACATAATTTACTTGTATCCAGTGAAGTACCAAAAAGGTAGAATGAGTATTAAAGTTCGCTGATTATATTGAAACATCACTCAACGTTAATATGAACTGATGGCACAAATGTTATCCATATTAAGGAGTATACATTGACAATGATTACCGGAGATGAATGAAATAACCATCTAGTGTTCTGTATAACTTTGTCATTCGAAAGCTCACAACTATCCGCATCCATACGTTTTTTCTAAAACTAATCAATTCAGCCACTCACTTGAACTATTTTGAGCATTAGTTTATGCTATGCCATTTGTTAACTAATTAGTATTAAATGTAATGGTTCAACTTCGAGTGTTATGATGTAGTAGGTGTCCAACACCTTTCATTTGTGCTGACTGCTAATTGAAAGGTCTCCCATATACGGAAACACGTGCGGCGCTAAAATTGAAAAATAGTTCTCTTACACCCATTCAAGGCAGTTTGAAACTATTACTCCCAAGCTTCATACAAAGAACTAAGCCCTGGTGAAAATAAATACTCATCAAAGACATTAGATTACAGTTATGTTATAGTACCAGTTTACAAAAGCTAGAAAAATCGTGGACCATTGGATTCTCAT